ATTTAGCAGTTTTCCCATATACAGGTGCTATTAAAAAAGCTACAATATTGTTTAAAAAATCCATTTACTTCTGCTTACAATATGAAACACATAAGATGTATAAACATGTATTTGTTGTAATATTGTTACAATTGTCTCACAGCTTGGAAAAACCCCAGACAAAATCCCTCAGAAAATAAAATCTATAAACAATTATATAATGAGTCTATATCAAATTGGTTCATATTTATAAATAAATGAGCTTTTGAGTGATAATCCAAATTCCTGAAACTTCTTTAATAAATCAAAGACCTTGAGTGACAGAACTGGTTTGCATGTTTCGGCTTTGTGAATGTGTGAACTTTATAAATGGCACCATCCTAAAATGAGGATTTTGCATCACGTGGTCCAAGTTTCTACAGTTGCAGTGAGCAGGGCCTTGTCCCGTGGATAATCTCCCCCCTTCAGTAGAAGATAAGCAAACTCTCTCACTCTATTCATCATTCCTTTTCTTTAGCTGGCCGCACTGGTCCCATCCCCCTCCCTCTGTCGGAGAATTCTTCCTCTCAGCAAAAGTCACACACTGGGATGACAGACGCAACAGGCATTTCTCAGCACCTAGAACGTTAGACTCCGAGAAACTGAACAGGGGAATTGTACTGGAAGGAGTAGGCCTTGCAATGGAGTAGAATTTCAAAGAGACACATAAGTGGTAGGGCTGCTGGTATTGAGGTGCATAGGATGTTCAAATTTTGGTGGAATATAGGGCTATAATTGCAACTTCTGTTTGAACAGAAGGGGCCAGAGGTTCCTGGTACTAGCGTATTTTTGGTTATGAAACCATTTTAGAACTCAGGTTAGTTTATCCTTGAAACTTAAACAATATTCTAGTTACCAACTTATTTAGTCATGTATTAATCGGTTTTGAAAACTTGAATAGACTTAACCATGTTGAGAAGAGGTGTTATGTCTCAGAAAATATGTTCACAACGTTTTTTTTAATGAAACTACTCCAGAGTCATCACTTAAACTTTGTTTTAAACTAAACATATGTCCAATAGTTCTGGCATGCGCCTCCTGTACTGGCGACCCCGCTCCCATCTCTGTGTGGAGTGAGAGACAAATGCCCAAAAATAACAATTGTAAACCGCTTTGTGACTCAGATCTGCAGTGAAAAGGCGGTATATAAATAAAGATTACTTACTTACTTTTGGGCAATGTATAAATTCCCATATTATAAGACGTTTTATTTTTTGTGTGTATTTTATGGGGGATTTTTTATCCTCTCTTATTTACATACTTGTACTTACATTAAACTGTGCATCGTTAACAACGTGAGTGGTGAATGCAGAGAGGATCAGTGCACTCGATGCATATTTTAAATTATTGGATTTTATTGGAGTCCAATGGTGACACATTTCAAAGGGTTTGCTCTGTTCATCCATATCAAATAAGATCCCAAGAGGTTGTTTTCATCACTTCAAACTCATGTAAACAGATAATCATCTGGGCCATTATTTAGGGAAGACGTTAAAGATAGAGAAAGGGAACCTCGGCAGTATTTTAAAACATAAACATTGTGAACATATCAGACCACAACATGCCGTCTACATTTTTTGCGTACTTGTAAGAAAGAGCCCTGTTGTCACTATTTGACCCTTTGGGCTTAAAGCTGATCGGCTGAGTGAGGGTGGTCCTCCCTTTTTGACTTTTCTGACTGAAAAAACGGATCAAAAGATGTGTCAGAGGCCAAAAATACACGTATGTGAAAACTAGTGATTGAACCAGGCTTTTTTTGACATTGACATTTATTGTTTTTGACAATGACATGTATTAACATTTATGGACATCCCGCTACCTATGGACTGATGTTTCCATGTTTGTTATTATTGTATTTCCAGTGTTCGAACTGTTAGATACTCTGATATGTTATTGCCGGATGAACAACTCAAATTCTTTGAGATGACTGCTATAGTGATTTGGGCATATACCAAAATACATTGAATTGAATTGGATTGAATTGTTATGAAAGCGAGGAGAATTGTATAGATGGATTCTGTGGATTGAAAGTAGGTTATCACATTTCTATTCTCTTTTTGTGCCAAATTGCCCAATATAACAATTACAGTTTGGCCTGCTTCCCACAAAGCAAGGAGAGGGAAGGGAAAGCAGCTCAGCATATGTATTCTGTCATCAGCTTCCATCTGATCCAGGCTTTGACCGGACCCCCGTTGCCATGCCCACCCAGCAGCCGATGTGATTGGTCCAAGAGTGTAACTTTACACCCGCCGGTCGTCAGCGTGTCAACAACTGCTCCGTCAGAGGCTTGCACAGAGACCCACACAGACCCATGAAGGCCAAAGGTGGAAGGACTGGACTAGACCAAGACTGATACAAGCTTCCGGTTTTGTGCAACAAGTGCCAAGCTTTTTTTCCCATTCTAGATTGAATATGTAGTACTAAAGATATTGGTTGTTATATACCAGATGATTATAATTTAGCGATACAATTGTTTGGTATATAAGAAGAAAAAAACTTCCTAAACTAATAGTTGTACTAAATTGCTAATCACAGGTGCAACCTGATACACGGCTAGGGTTGGGTATCTTTCAGAGCCTGCCAACATGATTCAATACGATATTTCAAAACAAGTCAGGGCGGTTCAATAAAAAAGTATACATTTTTCATATTATCAGGTATCATGATGATGAAGGTATCATCTACACTCATGGACACCTTCACACAAAACCATGAAGACCAAGTCTAAAAAGTCTAAACCTGCTCCAAAGCAGGTTTAAACCAGGAATAGAGTTGTATAGTTTCATTTTTCCAATAGAAGTTTCCAAAAACAATCCAAATATTAAACGTTCAACCCAAAAAAAATCAAATAATGTGATCAATTACACACTTAGCTCTCGGCTCAAAGAGTCCTGTACAAACTTGTAAGAAAGACTCACATAGGTCGATCTTGAAGTATGCAAAAGATAACATGTTTTCTCATCCGTATGAAGAAGAACCTAATGGTATATCTTCATTTGTTCAGCTTCAAGGATATGTATTATAAAGGATAACTATGTGCTCTTACAGCAATACAGCAGTGCCTTTAAAGCACATTTAAGCGTAGTGTTAATAATATTAATGCTCCAAACTAGGAGAATATCTGTTCTAAAGCAGAACTAAACCAGTCTGTGTCAGCTGAAGCGAAGGCCGATGCAAGAGAGAGGACCACTTGTCTTTGGATCATATTACAGCTGAGTGGCCAATACAAGGACTGATGGTTTGTGAAACATAATAAGTGAAGGATTGCTCTGTGAGCTGCTGCTATGGAAGTGCAGTAATGACTATTATAATTGTGTGGTTTATGTTAATCAGAGTGCGAGAAACTGAGGACTGCTGATCACGGCCTCCCACTTCTCCTTCAATTCAACTCAATTGGCTCAACCTTTACCAGATTAAGTGCATGCAGAGAAAATGTGACCAACAACATTCTCTTCAACCTCTTTTGAACATTGTTTTTGAAAATGTCTGGAATGACAAATATAGGGTTCCGCTCTGTGTTGAGTGTGACGTTATTGAAACAAAACACAAATTTAGTAACACAGTAGTGTAAAGCGTTATTGTTAGAATATGTATAATTATATTAGAGCTACTACCTAAATACTTTGATACCAGTGGCACCAGCCTTTGGAAAGCAGGGAAGAACATGCACTACCGCTGTATGTGTGCCTACGTCACATTGAGCACATGAGCAAGACTGTTTGTAAAGCTTTAACCGGTGGAGATATGGACACTATTTGAACATTATCAGTAAAAAAACAGCTTCAACACTCAACTCTTAAGCTAGTCTCAAAGTCACAAGTCGTAGCTTTCACGCAAAATACAAACTGCAGATTCTTTGGACGGTCAGGAATAATAGCTAGATGAATCGATAATCAATATAACTGTAAGTTAGGTACAGCAATACACAATACAATAGTCCAAAGCACCTGAAAGTCTCTCACCTGAAACATATAACCACATTTATATACTCACTAATCTTGCATTATTGTCACTGATTAGCACATTCCTGATATTTCTGTCCAATACAATGCACATGCCGAGAAACCCAACTCGCATCATTCTGCCATACGCTCCATCCTCATTCGTCTGAAACCATTGCAGACCAAAACCAGTCATGAGTCAGCTGCTGAGGACCGGAGCCCTGACCCCACGTTGCATCAGCGTCTGTCCTTTGCGGCGCGCTGCAGAACACAACTCCTAACCCTAACCCTCTCCTGCGGAGAGGCTCGCGTTTCCACAGCTGTGTCTACATCAAACCGAGCCGTGTTCTTTATCCCCCTGCTCCAGCAACAACTCAGGACACCACTCCACTGACCCACTTTGGAACGACCATTTAAACAAGGCATATTATGCAAAATCATCTGCTCTGGACTTGTTTTAGCTTCATCCAGAATGACATCAGGAACATGTCCCCCAGTCCCTTCTGTCAAAATGCTTCTATTTTGAACAAACTCTATGCATTAAGGAAAATCCTCTGTCTGCGACGTAGATATAATATTGATATTTTATTCACGATTACACTGTTTTTGTGTGTCAAGCGTACTGGACCGTGCATACCGAAATATGTATTTTATCGGCAGGATATCCAGCCCTAGGTACAATACTAGAATCACATATCGATGCACATATTGTTAAGAATTTGTTTATAATTTGAGGGGGAATTGTAAATTGGAACGTCAAGCTGTCCATGAGTTTTGAATGTTGTGCGTATATAGACATAAACATACACGATTTAAAGAGCATTTGTTCTGTGACCAAATATATTAAAATAAGCTTTCTTGATGGTTTTTTGTTCAGACACGATACCAAAATGAAGGGTGGAAGAAAACAGATAATAATTTTCAAAAGATCATCCAAAGAAAGCCATGCATTTTACAAACAACTGGTTTAGAATCTTAACTATCTCAGTAACATCTTTTCATTAAATCTCTCAATGCAAAAAAAACAGCATGTGTTCTTACCTGTAGCTCGCACCAGGCAACCTCCACCGTGGTCTCTGTATCAAGCCCCTTGTAGACCGTCTTAAAGGACCCTCGTCCGATCTCAATGTCGAACTTTAAGAAGCGGCCGTCCGGTGATGTGCCCACGGCTTTGGTCTCCGCCTCTTCGATATCATCCTGCACGCGTTTCTCGGCCTCCCTTTGCTCCGCCCTCGCCTTAGCTTGTTCTTTCTGCTCTTCTGTCTCTTTGTCTTTGTCCTCCGTTGGGCTACGAGTGCTACATTCCGACTTCTCGTCTTTTCCCACAGTCTCGTTTTTCTCGATCGTGATGTCGGGTTGCTCGCCTTCTTGGGCTTTATCCGTAACATCCAATGCTGTCGGGGTTGGCTCTTGCGTCGCTACGGCTGCGGTACTTTCTTTCGCGGTTTGAACATGACTTTGAACGTTTTCAATATTGACTTGCCCGTCGACATTTGAACTGCTTTCCTCCGCCAACGTTTTGGCAAGGCACTGCTCCAAGCCTGATACTAGACTAGATTGTAGAACCGGAGCTCTCTGGGTATCTTTGGGGTCGCAATCCCGCAAACTGGGCGCATTTACCGGGACTTGAGGGGGGAAAAAGGTGGCCACTGCACCGCAGTCTGGTGGAGAGGTGATGAGGACAGTAGCTTTACTGGGCAGGTCCAGGGCGGTCGCATTTGAGTCGCAGATGACGCTGCGCCTGAAGAAGCGGTGTTCAGCTGTTCTTGAGTCACGGTCCATGGTGTGTCGCCGGCGTTGGACCTCTGGGAGCCCGAGCAGGGACGAGCCAGTAGAGCCATTCACGTTTTTGGGGAGGTTTTCAGAGGTAGAAGGCAGTGGATGGACTGGGGTGGTAAGCTTCACAGGTTTTTTGTTGCTTTTGCTTCCAGACATTTTTCTGATACATAAAATATATCAACAGTAGTTATGAAGAGGAATGGCAACCAAATATATAAGAAGGGAAAAATAACTTCTTATGCTGCAGTCGGTTCTCTCCAAAGTTTCAATATGAAATTATAGCATTTGTACAAGTCCTTTCAGATGAGGGCAGAGAAGACCTCGGTCTGAGAGGGAAGGGCCTCGTTTTGGAGGCGAGGCAGGGAGAGAGTGAAATATTCCCGCGTGTGCAAAGGTGCAAGCCCCACAATGCAGTCAAAGTCAAATCACCAACCAAATACATCCTGCTGCCAACATCGAAAGGGCAACCACCACTGCATGGAAAGGTAAAACCGAGTCTATGCACTAATCCTGAGGAGTAATCCAAGTGTCAGTGCATGAGACTCGGCGGTGGGCCTGGTGCTAGGCCAAGCCTGGCCCAGCTTGGGGTCGGCAGCCTCTGGAAGGGACAGATAAAGACAAAGGTTTAGTTTGTATTCAAGCATTTATTTGCACATTTGGTATACAGTAGAATCAACTTCACTAGGCCTTAATCACTTGAAGCATGGCTGTACAGTTAATCCCATAGAAACAATATAGCATTTTTTTATGGATACAATTATAAGCATAGCCACTAGACTGACACATGTACTTGTATGTTTATTTTTGACACATGTAAGTTTGAAATAAATAATCTAACTTTCACTATCTACTAGATAGTAATTTTGAACCACAAGTATATGAAGGGCTGGGCATTATGGAAATACAGTTAAATCTTGATTGTATAGCCCCCATTAGAAAATTAAGAATGTTATTGATGTGACAAGAAACCAAACTAATGAAAAAAGCTCAATAAATATATTTCCAATACATTTTTTTCACCCCAAATGATCATAAACATTTTGTACAGATGCTGATACCTCCATTATAATGTTCTAAAAACTCTGTAAACTTTGTGACCTGCCCTGTTGTATACACTTGCTCTGCAGGCCTGAAAAGGTAGGTACACAGCACACGTAGCACATTTTGTCCACTCTAAATTCCTGGGTTAAAATCTGTGAAGTAAACCCTTTCCAAATCAGCCCTGTGCCTCACATCTGTCCTGTGCTGGTAATAATGGAGAGTAGTGATTCACAGAGTGCCACTAATTGTCCCCTGGTCCAAATATAGTTCCACAGCACTGACCCCGAGTCGGGCTGGTACTTCAACAGCTTAGCACTGGAGACCAGGCCGAGGGGAGGGACGCACTTAGCCACGGACATAGCACCAGACAACATCGGCCCAACATGAGGAAATATCATCACACTACACCACGGCTCTGCTCTTGTGTAACGCTTCCATATTGGTGGACTGACTTACATAATCTGACTGACTTACATAAGGCTGGGGGACCTAACTTTGCCTATAGACATAGAAAAAATCTTGAAAAAGTTGTGAATAAATCAGTCTAGGGTAGGAAATATAAAAAAATATTATTGGTACTAAACGAGATGTATAGATACCAAAAGTAATTGAATATGTATTTATTTCTTCTCTTCTATTAAAACAAAGCTCAACACTTTGTTTGTAATGTGGGAGCTGATTAGCTGAGTGAAGGTGGTCGTCCCTTTTTCACTTTTCTCTCTGAAGAAGCTCTAAAGATGTGACAGAAAACTAGTGATAAAACCAAACCATTTTAAAGAGATAGAAAGACATGAATTGTTTTACTCAGTTTTGGCTGTTGTGGTTTGACAGTTAGGTAGCTTTAGGAAGCTTCTGTCAATAGAAATTAAACTAAATGTTATTTGCTTATTGTGCGCATTATTGGTGCTTTGGTCTTTCAATTATGATTTATGACATGTAGATCTGTTTCTTTCGCAGTGATTTACTAAAGCTTGAGAGAACTGGGGACTAGGTGTTCTCGCTGCCCCTTTGCACCTTAACAGATAAAAGTAGTGAGCAGTGGATTGGCTATTTTCCCTTCATTCATGCCAAAATGCCTGCTTGACTCTTCTGAATTCTACCTGTATCACACCTGAATCTCTGCAATAAACTGTGTGTAAATGACAAGGGAAAGCAACTAGGCCATGGTCAAAAGTGGTATGCATAGTTATGTACATGTGTCTATGATTATGATCATTTCTAGATTACAAAAAACGTTAATTACAATCCCTTCCCTCAGTTAATCATATACTTGAATAACTCATGAGAAACTGTTGCACATCAAGTGCACAGATCTCATTCCATTACTTGTTTTTTCTCATAAATGTTTCTGCCAGGAGTTTGAATCGTGAACGCCAAAACACATAATCAAAGGCTATTATAGGATGTTTGAATGTCAGCAGATATCTCAGTTAATCATGTGTAATTATGAATAGAATAAAAGTTCAAGAGAGATGAGCGCTACAGTGGGTCAAGTTTGGTCAAGTGCCCATCAGGATCAGCAGTAAAAAAAAAAGGAAGCAGCAAATAATATTCCTGTGATAAAGGGCTGTGATAAACCAATATTTGTAATTCATCAGTTAGTCGATTAATCTCTCAATTCATCTTTTAGTTGTTCAAATCCTGAAAGTGATTATGAGAATTTGTTCTACATTCGACCAAAACAAAGACATTGGTTTGTTTGATTAAAACACTTCCACTACTACCATCTATGAAGCAATGAACAATAGGTTTTAACACAAATTCAAGCCCAGGGATGGGTGACTCCAAACATGACACACACCTCTGCACTGGCTGCTGTTTGTGTTCTGATGATGCAACCGCTAAAATGCCATGACAAACACAATCATCACAAACATTGGCTAATGAGCAATGTTCTGGCCCAGCTGCAGAGCCAGTTTTGTCTATAACACACTACACTAACATGTTGTTCTGAAAATGAGCCCCAAGGATTTATCAATTCCCTCTTATTTTATATGAATACCTTCATCTTTATCCTCTCTATGTTCTCCTTTTGAATGACCTTGGTGGCATTAGAATGCTATAGAGAAGTGGTTCTGTCTCGGGTTCGGTTGAGGTTGCGCTACAGAGGATACACGCAGATTATCTAGTGACAGGCAAACAATCCCGACGCTCCAGAGATGCGTTGCTCTTCCTGAAGCAGACTGCTTTGCAACACTGTGTTGGAGTGTGTGACAAAACAGCCGTAATACAACGTGTCAGTCTCGAACTCTGCATCACTGCTTTGCTTTGTATCAACTGTGTCTCTGTATCAAAGCGGTTGTATTGGTTTTGTTCTATGAAAAAGGTTAATGCACAGGTTATTTTGTGCACCAGTAAAAAACACTGCTGGGTTTTGGTACCTCCAACAAGGATAAGAACCACTGCTTTAGAGAGATCTGCAATTTCACTTGACCAAACCTGGAGCAAACTTCTCCCATTAAAGATCATTTTGAGAGGATATGGAAGGATAAGCAAGGAGCTATTTTTATGAAATTTGGATCCAGCTTGGAGTCCCTACATATAGGGTATAATGTAAACATTGGGATAAAAATATACTGTCTCTAACACAGCACTAACTCCCAATAAAGTTAGTTTATGTTTGAACAGAATATCTGCTCAGATATCTCAGTTAACTAACTTTACACAAAGAATAAAAAATACTAAATGTGCATTTTGAATAATAAATATTAAATCCTTGTTTATATACAGCTATTTTTGGACATTCAAAGAAGATTTCTGATCATAATGTAAATAGACATGTATTTATTGGAATAATTAATCATGTTTTTGTGTTGTATTCACAGCATTCGTATCATGTCTCTATCGAGAATTCCCCATACGTAATTGGGTAGAAATGTGTGTATAACGTCAATTATAAAGAGATAACGGTGAGACAAATACCTAAGTTTTCATATAATCATATATTTGTCTTTTTGATCATAACGTGATCAAGATATGTGGTTCAATGGTTCAAGTGAACCATTGTCTACGTAGTTTGATCCTAACTGATTGCCTTAAAAGAAACGGACAATAAGCAGACATATATATCCATCCGCAGCACAGCAGTGGATACATCGTGCAGACTCACTGCTCACATGAAGCTGATGCGTTGCTCACATTGCAGGAAACTCGCAGCCGTCGCAAGCAGTGGCGCTGTATGCAGCAAACTTTGTCAACAAGCAAAGCAGACCGCGACGTGCCAGTGAAACCCACACCAAACACGGGCTTTTCTCCTGTACCTTTCACATCTGCATTAGTTCCGCTGTCACCACAGAGAAAGTGCGCACAAACTTCAAATCCTCTGCACACAATCCGCCACTGAACGCAGCACGGGAGATCAGCCGCTGTGCGTCCAAGCCACAGATGGTTGACTCAAAAAAAAAAAATAATATATATATATATAAATATAAATGTTTTAATGTATGCACGACAAAAAAAAGGGAAAGTTATCCACGCCTGGTATCCACAAGCAGCGCGGGGATCAGGCTCGCCCACCCGGGTACGCGGAGGGAGTTACGTCGCTTCTCGCTGCTTGAAGTGAGCAGGAAATCCAAGAGAGTGCAGTGTTTGTGCGGGGTCCCGGGTGCTTGGCTCAGTCTGATCCCTGTTGTCTGGGAGTCTCTGGGAGTCTGTGGGTCCTCTGGGTGTCTGGCTCTTCTCTGAATGTGTGTCAGTGTGTGTGTGAGTGTGTGTGACGTGAGTGAGGAGGTGTGTGCCGTCTGTGACTGTTCTGCGCGATGACTCGACAGCCGCGTGTGATGGCGCGGAAGTGACACAGAGGCGGCTTTCAAAGTAATGGACTGATGCACAAATGTTCAAATACTCACATACACCCAGGAGAAGCGCTGTGCTTTTGGTCAGTGTCACCTCGAGACTTTTTTATTATTATTTACAAGTCATTTTAGAAAATACGTATCACACTTAAAATTAAATATTTCAAAATTGGATTATTTTGCTTTCCCTGAACTATAGTATATTGTAATCTCTATTCCTATGTTTTCTTTCTTAGCTTATACGATTTCTGAATGTGAGAAAGAGAGAAAATATTATCAAAAGGCCCCTCTCACCTGCCCGATTGGATTAAATGATTCAGATTCAGATTGAGAAAACTTTATTGATCCCAAAGGGCAATTCATTTGCAGTATAATCTCAAGGCAGAACACACATACTCTACACAAACACACAATGAGTCTCACAGTTCACACAGCAGCAGGTTACACAATATAAGTTAAAAAACAACAATGAACAACACAATTCCCAAAAGTCAAACACCTCTACCAGAGTTCAACAGTTTTATGGCAGAAGGCACAAAATGATTGGAAAAACGGTTTGTTTTTCGTGATGGAGCATAAAAACGATGCCCTGAAGCAATCATTACAAAGTCAGCAATCAGAGGATGTTTGGGCTGAGCCAGAATACATTTTGCTTTATTCAGCACCTGTTCCTCCCACAGAGAGTGAAGGTCTCTGAGTTTTCCTCCAGTGATTTTGGAGAAAGTTCTCACAACACTCTGTAACTTGTTCCTGTCCTTCAGGGTCAGGCTTTGGAATCAAAAGATAAAAGAAAAGCTAAGAAGGCTTTCAATAAAATAACAATAACAATTATTGAGAATTGTCCTGTTTACATTAATTGTGACTGTTTAATGATAGACTCAGTGTTTATGTCAAACTTCAGTTTGTTGTCTATAGTTTTTCCAAGACATTTGTAACTGTCCACGTTTGCCACATTCTGACATGTAATTTTCCCCTGTGTGAGATAAATAAAGTCTATCTTATCTTATCTTATCCTATTCCCATCGTGGATGACGCTGGTGTCATTGGATGTAACGCATCTGAAATCAATGACCATGTCCTTAGTCTTTGGAACATTTAAATCCAAGCAATGGTTTTCACACCAGGAGACAAATTGTGCTAGTGCAGGACCATGGCCCGTCTCTGAGCCGGCAAGCAGTGACACCAGCACTGTGTCGTCTGAAAATGTAAGCAGAAGTCTGTTTTCCTCTGATGATCGACAGCTGGTTGTGTAGAGGATAAAAAGAAGAGGCGAAAGTATGGGGTAAGGTCACTGTCAATAAAGACGTGCATGTCTAAAAAAAATGCATGCATATTTATTAATATTTTTGCATACAAATATTTTATTAATTCATGATTAAGATAATACAAACTAAAAAGACATGAAATTTTGTAATTAAGAATAAAAAAATATAAAACTATATGTGTGATTTCATACTTGTGAATACGATTTTTTTGTGTGCTTGCATTTTCCTCTTTGAGAACACAAAATTCAGCAGTCAGCAAACTTTTAATATTACGTCACTGCTCACAGACATTAACGTTGTACACTAACTTTCTACTTGTTGTTTTTTTTTAACTACTGTTTATCTATGTGAGAAAAAGTAAATAAAATTAAAGCCGCAAGCGGCGTCGAACGGCCCCCGCCAGACCACGCAAAGGAGGTGGCGCCACCTCGCCATGATTTGCTCCCGTAGCTATAGAACATCCATCCGTCCATCCATCATTACCTTGATCCATTATTTACTTGTCACTTCCCTCAAAAAGTAACTGAGTTACTAACTGAGTTACTCCACTATAAAAGTAACTAGTTACCAGTAAAAGTAACTATTGCGTTACGTAGTGGTACCGAGCTTAAACTGGTTGTAATTTAGAATAACTTCTAAGTAGATTAATTGTTGCAACAACACCACCCTATTTTAGTATTAGTCTTATATGTTAGTTTATGGAACTGTCCTGCAAAGCACACAGGTAAGTAATAAAAAGACAGGCCAAGGTTTCATTTAAATTACATTGCATTTATTTGTATACATTGATCAAACAAAAACTTGCAATTGAAAGAGACAATTATTTCCCACATACACACACGACCCCTCCTTTCAGCAGCCCTCGCACCTGACAGACCAGAACGAGGGAAAATACAGTGAGCGCGGCTGGAACACCTACAGCCGCTGGATGTGAACAGGGAGTTGGCGAGCAGAATAGATTAGAGCAGTGGTCCCCAAACTACGGCTCGTGGGCCGGACCCGGCCCCCCTCTACATTTGCTCCGACCGAACAATACCAGAGAGTATTTTCATATATGGGCTTGTTCCCACTAAAGAGCACAAAAGTGTGACAATAGGCAAAACATTTGATTTTAAAGTAGCTATATGTAATATTTGCATGTCAAGTCATCATTAAATGGCCCCGATATTTGGTGTTATTAAATCATGCTCTTTTCGAATACATCTTTAACAGATAACAGTAGTGAAGCCGAGATATTTGAATATGAAAATTAGTTTTACGACCCGTAAAAGTTGTTATTGTTTTGATTTCTGTGTCCCGCCCGCCGCTGTTTCGCCAATCAGGAAGTCCGTGATCCGTGTTGCCAGAACTCCGCGCGGCTCACTAATATCAGTGGTAAAAAACCATGTGGCTGCAGAACTCAAAAAGGTCTCTATATGACTCTCAAATCATTTATGACAAAACAAAGACTAAAGCGAGGATTTATATTGGGACGCCTTTGAAAAATTGAGACCGAGGATACGTTTTTGGGTGATGCAAAACTTGTCTGATTAACTGCGTTTCCCTCAATTACCACCATTGTATCCAATGATGGCCTAATGGGTAAGGCAGACATCTGATGTCTGAGTAACCTAGGTTCGAATCCAGTTTCTTCTTGCATGATATCACATTTTCAGGTAAAAGACAATAATCAAGATGTTTTTTGCAGATTATAGCTTATTTGTAAAAAAAAAAAATATTTGAGGCCACATGTACCTCAAATAAAATAATGTTAGTCTCTATTTGATTTAGGACTTATACATGTATGTCTGAAAAATAGGGAATAAATAAAAACCTGATGTTGATACGCTGAAGAAATATGTTCCAACATCCATTCTTCCCACTCCTATTTTGGACATCAATTGCTTATTTATGTTGCATAATCTATGCATAATTAAATTGCTTTTATTTTGTTTTTTTCATCTCAAATGTCCAAATAATAATAATCAACATTAGCACGGCTATCATGGCAATACAGATAGACAACTGATAAAATAATTCCCTGTGTTTGCTGCTGGATTTGGTGTGTATCTGGCAACCTGAGTCAGGGAGAGTGGGAGAGGACTACAAAATATAGGGCACTGTCCGGTTTCCGAAATGTGCTAAAAATAGCTCCGATGACTGCGCATGCGCGCATGTTTCGGACAAACATTGTGTACAACTCGTTGTATAATATATGTGGATCTATCATAATATCAGCTGACAGTAGCTAACTAATGATCAAATTAATTACAAAGTGGACAGTGCAAAAAACAACTTGATAAATGGAAGTTAATCACAGCAAAATAAACAAAGAAGGTGCTAGCATTGCAATTTAAATGACAGGATAATGTTAGCATAATCCTCACCATTACCTTTTTATCAACTCAAACTTTCGAGAAAGGGCAGGCTCCTTTTGTGGCACCGGCACCTGCCACAGCTGTTCAGTGGCTTGTACACAACAAGTGGCGTTTAAAACGGCATGTGGGGAATAAATGGCGTGTAAAGCGGCATGTGGGCAATAAATGCCGTTTACAACGGCATGTGGGGAATAAATGGCGTGTAAAGCGGCATGTGGACAACAAATGGTGTTTAAAACGGCATGTGGACAACAAGTGGCGTTTAAAACGGCATGTGGGGAATAAATGGCGTGTAAAGCGGCATGTGGACAACAAGTGGCGTTTAAAACGGCATGTGGACAACAAGTGGCGTTTAAAACGGCATGTGGACAACAAGTGGCGTGTAAAGCGGCATGTGGACAACAAGTGGCGTTTAAAACGGCATGTGGGGAATAAATGGCATGTAAAGCGGCATGTGGACAACAAGTGGCGTTTAAAACGGCATGTGGACAACAAGTGGCGTGTAAAGCGGCATGTGGACAACAAGTGGCGTTTAAAACGGCATGTGGGGAACAAATGCCGTTTAAAACGGCATGTGGGCAATAAATGGCGTTTAAAACAGCATGTGGACAATAAATGGCGTTTAAAATGGAATGTGGACAATAAATGGCATTTAATACGGCATGTGGGCAATAAATGGCGTTTAAAACGGCATGTGGGGAATAAATAGCGTGTAAAACAAATACAGTTGAAAGCAGCCTGTACAAAAGACAACAAGCAGCAGTATTAGAGATAGTGGTCAAGTGGCTCAGATGGAAAAGCACAGGTCTACGGTGTTGATGGTTGCTAGTTCAAATCCGCAGTGACTACCAATGACATTTTCTGATGTTGGGTCCTTGGGCATAACACTTCATGAAGAATGTCACAAGTGCCATAAGTTGTTTGAGTTAAATTTGTTAAAAGACTTAATTTCATGTATTATATGTGGTTTAGATTCTGAAGAACTGTGTATTACTGTGGCGCACTTGGTTTATAACTGTCTCTCATGCGACAGATACCTGGTTCCATTCCAGGTCTGGTCTTTATTTATTTTTTTGTCAGATTAAATACAAATTGAATATGTATGAATATATATTTCATACATATGGTTATGTGTTGTTCCAATAGTAATCTTGCATTAGGATTAATATTGCATCATCGTTAGGGTAAAACTAAATGATGTGTAAAACACACAAGACACAATTTTACTTAAAACCACCTGGTGAGTGGTATAGTTGGTGTGTGTCCGCCAATCATGCAAGAGTTCGCAGATTCAAATCCAGCCAAGATCAAAAACTTTTTTATGACGGTTATTTCTTTATACATATATATATCTATAAATATCTATATATATCTTTATATATATATATATACAGTTTTTATATAACTGCCATTAAAACTGCCATTTTGTGTTTTGGCAAAGAAAAAACCGAAAGATTCTATTGTTGTTTTAGGACATTTCATCAAGAATGGAGCCAACCAAAGATGGTGAAGAGTGATGGATTGAAAAACACAAGCAGAAAGTTGTGTAATTGGAACATGAGGTTTCATCTCCATATTGTTAAAATCTTCATTTCTGTTCTTGGACCGTTTAAGCTGTGTCTTATACTTTGCATTCTTTAAAAAAAATATATGTATTAATGCTCTTTCTTATTGTTCCATGTTTCTGATGTGGTTTTATTAAAGAAGAGAGAGAAATAAAATGATTTTTTCTTTTGTTTTATTTTTATATATATATATATAGTCATACATATTCAATTTGTATTTAATCTGACAAAGAAAATATAATGACCTGTCCTGGATTTGAACCAGGTATCTTCCGCATGAGAGGCATTTATAAACCAAGTGCGCCACTGGATGACGCAGGTCAAATGGAATTTAAACTATATATAATACATGAAATTATATTTCAAAATATTTCAACAAATTTATGCAATAACATATATTATTATTACTCAAACAACATTTTTCAAACAATTTATGGCACTTCTGACATTCTTCATGAAGTGTAAGGCCCAAGGACCCAACATCAGCAAATGTCATTGGTAGTCACTGGGGATTTGAACTAGCAACCATCAACACCGTAGACCTGTGCTTTTCCATCTGAGCCACTGGACCACTAGCTCCAGTAGTGCTGCTTGTTGTCTTTTGTACAGGCTGCTTTCAACTGTATTTGTTGCCCACATGCCGTTTTAAACGCCACTTGTTGTCCACATGCCGTTTTAAACGGCATTCATTGCCCACATGCCGCTTTACACGCCATTTATTCCCCACATGCCGTTTTAAACGCCACTTGTTGTCCACATGCCGTTTTAAACGCCACTTGTTGTCCACATGCCGTTTTAAACGCCACTTGTTGTCCACATGCCGTTTTAAACACCATTTGTTGTCCACATGCCGCTATACACGCCATTTATTCCCCACATGCCGTTTTAAACGCCACTTGTTGTCCACATGCCGTTTTAAACGGCATTCATTGCCCACATGCCGCTTTACACGCCATTTATTCCCCACATGCCGTTTTAAACGCCACTTGTTGTCCACATGCCGTTTTAAACGCCACTTGTTGTCCACATGCCGTTTTAAACGCCACTTGTTGTCCACATGCCGTTTTAAACACCATTTGTTGTCCACATGCCGCTTTACACGCCATTTATTCCCCACATGCCGTTTTAAACGCCACTTGTTGTCCACATGCCGCTTTACACGCCATTTATTCCCCACATGCCGTTTTAAACGCCACTTGTTGTCCACATGCCGTTTTAAACGCCATTTGTTGTGTACATGCCACTAATCAGCTGTGGCAGGTGCCGGTGCCACAAAAGGAGCCTGCCCTTACTGAAACTTTCTACCAGTCACTGGAAGACCACGACATTCAAGCCAACGTTTTAATTGGTCTATACTATGATCCCTGATGGTTTGATGGTGGAATTTTGCTCCTGGTACATCATTTTCGTCTAAAGTGACAAGTGGTATTTGATTAATTTCGGCAGTGTTTGTCCGAAACATGTGGCCGGGAGTTGACAGACGGCGGGGGCGTGTCTTAATGACGTCATTTAGATAGTTCGCTATAGACTGTGACTGCAGTACCGCTTTTGGCCAGATTTTTACATACTGTTCCTTTAATAATCATAAGATATTTTATGTTTTTCATGTATCCAAACACCTCCTCTGTCCATTAGAAGTTTCTAGAACATAACTGTTTAATACATTAGATAAGTTTCCTATAGTGGCCTTGTTTATTTTATGTAACGGACGTGATGATTTGACGGAATGAGCTTTGCGGAAGTTTGATAGGTATTTTTAGACGTCCACATTTGATTAAAAGATTCAATTTTTTTTTAACACAAAGTAGAAACAAAGTGATACTTTCATATAGTCAACTAATTAAGTGTGAAAACAGACCAGATTTTTTTTTTCTCAAGTTTAATTTTTAGAGAAAAGAGTACAGAAACCATCACGTCCGTTACACCTCGGACATCTCGGTCCAGAAATGTGCAGTGCTAGGAACAGATACTGCGCAGAACCCTCAAGCTCCCAGGCCTCTGGTGGAGGACCCGAGCTTAGAGAGGGATAACCGCCCGCGGAGCACGGGCGGTGAGAATTTTTTTTTAATATGTAGCCTAGGCTCCCTAGGCTACACATTTGATAAGCATTCATGATTATCAAATGTGTATTTTCACTGCAGCGTGTCCTGGAGAGAATGACGCACCACGTGACGACTCTGCTTTAAGTTTAACTTCCATTTATTTGCCTTAATGCAATTGTAGAAATACAGTAAATAAGTCGGCTTTTTGGCTCAGAGTTCACATACATCACAGCACTGTCTGTTCATATCGATCACATGACAGGCTGAAGTTTGCTGGAGCTGAATTAATGTCCTTCATGGCCCTTTCTTTCACCGTCCTTGTGGAAGTTTCTGAAGTCTGATGCTATGAATTTATGATGAATGAATCCTTCATGTTATCACCGTGAACGGTGTTTTGCGCTTCATTGTTCCTCGTGTTGCAACAAAACTTCTCATTACAACGCAAACATGAAGCAGTCCTTCCTCATCGACTGAAAGCAAATGTTCTTATTCTTAGTCCAGTTTTTTATCGACTCTTTCTCTTTTTAGCTTTGGAATCCATGCGCACACGCTGTTTTGTTTTACAACAGCGGCCGCCTGGCCGCGTCACAGAATATGACGCTCTACGTTGACAGAAATGTTGAAATTAAATATTACTTACGCACATTTTTACAGCATTTAATAACTTTAAGATTTTTTTTCCTCATACAGAAACCACATTCAAACAAGAAATAAAATATAGCCCTCCCACTCCAGGAGCCACTGAGGAGCACTAAAGAGCCGGATGTGGCTCCTGAGCCGCAGGTTGCCGACCCCTGCACTAGACAAACTCTCCATTAAGAACAAAATGAAATACATTTAGCCAATCGTCCCCGTTTGAGAGAGATTCCGGTGCACGTTTCAGTGTTTCAATTGTTACTTGCAGATCACAAAAGAAGTCCTCAGTCTCTCTGGGACAGCAAAAAAGTTTCGGCCTTCCCTTCCTAAATACTCTCAGCATGCTGGGGTATTACAAAGAGTATTTCATATCCTCTGCAGAGAGCTTTTATAGACTTTTGGACCTCAATTGATGGTTTACATGCGTCTTTTGTGTTAAAGTGATATTGGTGGAGTATTTGGTTTTGACTAGTGCTTTGTAATCACAATAGGATAATGGTCTTAAGCTCATCAGAGAGACTTCCTTTGCTCTTTCGTCTGAGGCACCAATGCACAGTTCTCCTGTCCCAAGGGCCTCAGACGTCACACGCACAGCTCCATTGTCCATCTCATCCTGGCGCTTTTCCTGCAATCCACATTCAGGAAATATTCTAAAACCTCCAATATACAGGGTAATTTACCAGTGTCGTGTCAAGTGTACACCTACAGTCAGACATGTATAGTCTGCCATCTCGTTACAATGACAAATGTGGATCGTTATATCATATTTATTCTAAATATGGTGGAAAATATACATTACTCAAGACTATTTAAAAATAGATGTATTCAATTGTGCATGCACAATAGGAGACAATAGTTATATAACAAATTGATTATAAAGTTAAATGGTGAAACTTTGTGAATGAAAAGTTTTCAAATATGAGGGGTGTTTGCTTGGTTTCAAAATTGTTAAAAACACACCGTACATTCTAACTATTGAGCAATACCTTGTACATACTGACACCGTCCTCACATTCATTTTTCACTGGCTGCATTTAGAAGTGTCTTTTCACAGCTTTAAAAGCCAGTGCACATGCACCAATCACACACTGATCTTTCCAAACAGCTAGTGCTCTGTGCCTGACACAAGCCCCGGTGAGCCGAGATGGCGCCCTCTTCAAATGATTAGCATGTGCTCAGTAGCGCATGTGGACAAGCTCCCATGATGCGTTGCACCAAATACATATGTGTGTCTGGAGCGGGAGCCAAACAAGCAGAGTGTGTTGCTTTAAAGTCTAGAGTCATAAAAACCCAAAGGATTTAACAAGAAAAAAGTTTCATAACGACAAGGGACACTGAAATCCCCACAAAATCCGACCTATATGAAAGCTGTAGGTTCTCTATTAGCTGAGGTCGAGCTGTTTTAGTTTTTCTGGGTATCCCACGTGAATTTAGTCTACAGAACCACAGGAGCCCCCTTCCGATAATGACCAGCCTACAATACATTATCCCGCTTATTATACGGCTTTGAACCAACAGAACATACAAAATAAACTTCAGTCCACTCTTAGGAATGCCGACATGTTTATTTAATGACTGCAAAAAAAATTGGTCTCAAAAGTTTTCCCATGGCTTTTCGAGTAACAGTTAGGCTAGAAACTTCCAAACTAGAACTCTCTTGAACTGCATGAAAACTGAACAAAGAATTGTGAACATCAGCGGTGAGTGACCCAAACATAAACTTAACCTAAATCCATAATTCGATCCTCTGCAAATGTGTCTTGAAATGTCCCGGACTGTACTTCAGGGTTTATCGCAATCACTTTTTCTCGCATGAAAACAGTATTTTTTTCATGAAAACGTTAACAGATAATTCTAAGGGGCGACAGTGGCTCAGTTGGTAGAGCATTGGCCTTTAAGCCTGAAGCTTGTGGGTTCGAGCCCACCATGGGACCTTCTCCACCGACTTCCACCAATGACTGCTGTCGTTGTGCCTGAAGCCCCCGCTGAAAGATCAAGGCCATGCCATAGGGCAGCCATCCTCCTGTGGACACACCACCTGCAGGGGAATCAGAGAGGGGCTGGTGCTATGTGTACTGGGTTGCATCTGCCCCCCCCCCCCCCCCCCCCCCCGACCCAGAAATGGATTAAGCGGTAGAAAATGGATGGATGGATCTTCGGTTAGTTAGAAATGTTTATAATGTATGTGCTTTATATGTGTGTGTATCTATCTCTCCTAAGTTAACAGAGCCAAGCCATAACAAATGTTCAATTAAATTGTGACATGGTTCTTTGTGTCTCAAAGTGCCCCAGTCTCAAAAGTGCTGGGCCTATTTTAGGCCTTGTTTTTATGAAGGTGATCATCTCTTTTCACAGTGTCACAAAGTTGCTTAATTCACTCAACCAGGATGAGGGAAACTACTATTGTATCTGTAGCTGCCATGTTGCAGGCTGACAGAAGTAGACAGCACACTACCAGATCCATCCAGACAAGGGGAGAACATTTGTCTGGATGGATCTGGTCCTCCAGACTCTCACAAGTCCTACCCTGGGATCTTTTTGTTGTGAGTAAAACTCTCAACCACATTCATCTGCTACCATGGAGATATGCTTTGATTAACCCTATGGTTTGCTTAATCATTTGGTGGATCACTTTTTGAGTCACTTTGTCTACTTGAAGCTCGGAACTGAAATCTTTCTCTTTGGGGCATCTCTATTATTTTGTTTTAAGTACTTTTACCAAGCTGCATCTCAACCATTTTGTTATTAGTGCTCCTACATTTTGGAAAATAAAAACTAAATTACATTGCTTTCTTAAGGAGTGAACGTTAAAGGGTTAAGTCCAAGTTTAAGTATTTGGAGGCTACAAAAAGGGGATGGTATTTCAATTCTGAAGCAGAGAAGTTGGTAAGTATTTTGTACAGTGCTTTTCACAGACAGATTCAGAAAGTTGTGTTTGTTACAAATGTGTTCATTCAGATGGAAGGCCACATGACAGAAAGTTGGGCTGCTGCTTTTGTAGAAGAGGAAACATGTGGTGAGGAACACATCAGCACTCAGGGCTCGCTGCAAGACTGTTGTGAGTTTGATCCTGTGTCGATCCGGGCTTTTCTGTGGAGTTTGCCCTGTGTCTTTGCCCTGTGTCTTGATGGGTTTCTTTTAAATTGCAGATTAAAAGGAAAAAAAAATGTAAATTCTATGGAAATGACTGAATCTCAATTTTGCCTTTGAGACCTTCTTGGGCTCAGATGAGGTGCTTCTCGTGTTGTTTGTACTTCACATAAGCACCAGTTTTCTGCTTCTGTGCTGCCCCTTCATCACACATGATAGAATTTGAGCGGCTTCTTGACTTACTTTGACCTATATGTTTCTTCTGAAGGCTTCTTAAAACAAGCCATGTTATTGTCACTGCACAAAAACATGGACATAGAACTTGAACTTACTGTACTTCACCAACTACAGCAACAGGCAGCGTGAAACATAAAGAAAGCAATTCTTAAAATGTTGAACATACATTCGCATTCTTCCCTTTGAGGTTGTCTGGCACAGTTAAGTCTTCTAGTTTTAATGTGCAAGTCCTTGGCTATCAAAATGATTAAAATCAGGGGTCCTCAAACTCAAAACAAAATCAAATCTTTCATTCAGGTGCTCCGGTTTTCCCTATACCTTTAAAATAGAGACTGGTTAAACATATTGTAGATTAAACTAAAAGAACATCATACATTGACTGGAAAAAGGCCTTGACTGTTGGTGTGGCCGGGAGATCACAATTCTAGATTACCGTTTCTTTTATATTTCTTATTTGCAGTGGTTGATATGTAATGGATTACTGGAGCATGACTGAATGTGATGATGGGATAACTGAAGCATTTTGCTATGCCTTCGTTCTCTTTACTGTTCATGCTGCGGACCACCCTCCAAAACAACACGTGCTGTCTCTCTTTGCCCTTTTCCACTAGGCACGGGGCTTCAGTTGTCATATGTGGCCTCAGGTGAAGTCTGTCACAAAGAGCTGCCTTTCTGGAAGATAAGTGGGGCTCACGGTGTCAGTGTCTGTAGTAACAGCTTCAAAGCAGACGAGACAGTGACACATTCATGAAAGAACAGTAAAAAGAATTATATCTACAATGTTGTGATGTATAAAATACATGCTGACTCTGACTTTGAGCATGCTAGTCTGTTGGATGGTGCATGGGATCATAAAACAGTTATATTTTGACGGTAAAACAATGGAATTTCAGGATTCAGAAAACACGGGGGGGTACAGTATCTGACAGTTTGACCGTACGTCATACGTGTCGGTAATGTGAGTTAAAGTCAGGATTCCTGTAACCCCCCCCCCACACGCGCACACACATACCCTGGTTTGGGGCCAGGATCAAGCACAACATAAAACACAAACCGTTTTTTTTTCTCTCCCTTTGACACAACAGGAGCTGTAAAGACATGAGCTCATCTTCAGCATGAAATAACTCAATAATAATAACTGAACTGAATGTAAAGATCATTTGCATAGATGTACCTGTGCAGTATTCAAAGTGACAAGTGGAGTGTGAAAGATCCAGACTTGTTCTACCACGCTTTCACTGCAGAAGCTCGCAGCTGTTTCATGCATATAACATGTGCATCTTTCCCTGTTTCAACTGAACCAAATGAACATGTGCCGTAGAATAAGGCTCAACGTATACAGACACCTCTTACAGTGGGACATAAGGCAACTTGAGCGAACTTTTGGCTCCTTAGTATATATATAATATACATATTGGGCCAACCTGACCTCACATGTGCAATAATATCGGAATATGCACGGCTTTATGTGTCCACTGTCAGCTTAGGCTGCTAACATCACTTCCTACATATGTAGGAAGTGATGATGTTAACTGGCCATGTTACCATGTTATGTCCCCACATAATATTTTATTATATGAATTTATAACACGGCTCCTCACAGCAGCAGTAGAACACTCTATTGATTTGAATGTAATTTTAATACGTTCTACCGGTCAATATTTCTTGATAACTGACCTCTCAAAACAATAATTTAATGGCCACTGCCCATGGCAACGCACCCTCTGCTTGTAATTCAGATGTGTAGATTACTCCGCAAGTAGTCCGGCCACTGCGAGAGAAGGTATCGGAGCTAGCCACGCTCAATAGACGCATATAACTAACAAAATCAACACATTTAAATGTTAATCAGAGAATACATTATACATATAAATTCGTAACACACGTGCACAGAGGTTTTCAGAATTATCTGTTAACGTTTTCATGACAAAAATACAGTTTTAATGTGATGAAAAGGGATAGCGGTAAACCCGTAACTAACCATTAACATTAATTAAACATTTTAAGACACATCTGCAGAGGATCGAATTATGGATTTAGGTTCGGTTTATCCTTGGGTCACTCATCGCTGATGTTCAGAATTCTTTGTTCCGTTTTCATGTACTGTTACTCACCTGCCATGGAAAAACCTTTGGGAACTATTTTATTTGCAGTCATTAAATCAACCTTTCACCATTCATAAAAGTGGACTGAAGCTTATTTTGTGTGTGTTTGGTTGGTACAAAGCCGTATGATAAGCGGGACCTTCAGGGCGGAAGCAGACCCCTCCGCTGCGTGCCG